ATATATGCATGCCACCACAAATTCACTTAAAGTTGCAGGCTGCTTTACATCTCAGATCAGAATAATCTCTGGCTATTTGACATATGTAAAATAATAATTTTATTACTGAGCAGCTAGAAGTAAGACACATCTTTGGTAGGCATCCAATGATTCAATACAAATCTGAGGTTCAAAGGTTTATATATTTAAAAAAACAAAACAGTAATTGTGTCTCTATTCAAATATACAATGCTTTAGGCAACTCATGCCAACTTATCATGCTTCACTGTCAGTAAACTATCAGCAGGGTGGTGGTGGTACACAACATTAATCCCAGCACACAGGATGAAGTGGCAGGTGGGTCTCTGTGAGTTTGAGTTTAACCTGAACTATAAAGTGAAAAATAGCCAGTGCTGCATAGATTCTGTCTCAAAAAAAAAAAAAGAAAGAAAAAGAAAAAAGGCAACCAAAATATTAAAAAAGTTACCAAAAAGCCTCAGGCAGTGAAAAATCAGCATCTCCAGCCCTTAGGTTGGCTCAGAAGAGATGGAGTAAAGACAAGCAAATAAGCAACAGCACTGGCAATCTAAGATACAAGGCAATCTGGTAGGCTTAAGTTAATTAATTAGAACATGTAAATTATTGCACAATTTCTCTTTAACATGGAACAAAAAACTCACTCTGGACACATAAGAACACGAATACTGGTCAGGTAGGGCTAAGTGGCGCACACCTTAAATTCCAGCACTTGGGAGGCAGAGACAGGCAGATCTCTGTGAGTTCAAAGACAACCTGGGCTAAGTGTTGAATTCAATATCAACCTGACTCAAAAGGAAAAAAAAATTAAGAGATTACTTCTACCCACAAACTTACTGCTGGTCTCCGAGGTTCACCAGGCAGTTGTGGTGGGTAAACAATATTATTCTTCTTCTCCCACCTTCGAGAAATGTCAAGAGAAGCACTTGTGTGGATACACGATTGGGGTAAAACTCTGAAAAGAAAGAAGTCTGTAAGATGATCAAAACCTGGAACTTTGCTACAGTTTTGGAAGCCACATCACCACCATTTGGGCAACTTTAGGCTCACCACTGGAAGTTCATTAACAAAAGGTTTTAGACACCACAGAGCTAGTTTAATTGGAGGCCAAGATGAGATCTTGCAGCTTGTGTAAGTTAAATGGTGTAGGCATTAACCTACACTCTTTGCCCTGATCAATGAATGCTGATAATTTTTTAAAAGATCTATTTGTTGCCAGGCAGTGATGGTGCACACCTTTAATCCCAGCACTCGCGAGGCAGAGGCAGAAGAATTTCTGTGAGTTCGAGGCCAGCCTGGTCTATAAGAGGTAGTTCCAGGGCAGGCTCCAAAGCCACAGAGAAACCCTGTCTTAAAAAAAAAAATCTATTTATTTATTTTATGCATGTACGCCTGCATGCCAGAAGACATTAGATTCAACTACAGATGGCTATGAGCCACCATTATAGCTGGGAAGTGAACCTGGGTCCTCTGGAAAAGCAGCTGATGCTCTTAACCACTGAGCCATCTCTTCATCCCAAATGCTGACCATTTAGTACTAAAAAAGATTGAAAGAAGAGACAATGAACTTATTCTTTATCTGGCCTGTGGAAGAACCAAACTTCTGGAGGAAATGGCTGGTCACAAGCAGAAAGTATGCAAGACAGGTAAGAAATAATTTACCAGATCACAAACCAAGCAAGCTAGCACAGAGCACAGAAGCACATGAAAAGAACCTGTGAGTCCATAATGGACAGTCCCATGGGCCACTATGGCACAACACTAACATTAGTAAAGGTAATACCTTCAGGGAGTTGAAACTGTCAAATATATTAAAGCCATAATGAAATAGTGCGAATGAGATACTGCTTGTAAAATGCTTAACCTGACTCTTGGGACTCAGTAAACTTCAGATATAATTTTATATTGCAGGAGGGTACATGAACTTCATTCTGTCGCTGCTGGACAACTAGCTGATGCATCACCCTTGGCAGTATCTAACACGACATAGCGCTGATGGCCAGGATTATTGAAAATGAGGCTCGTCGAACAGTTATCTGTCCTGTCTCCCCTCTAAACATACCTGTGATCTCTAGACCTTATGGTACCCAGCTTCCAACTTCCTTCTCCAGCTTTACTCCTGAGTGGTCACATTTCTGCACCAACAAGGTGGGTACACTGTAACCTCTTTGTGACTGTGTCTCTATGGCCTCTAACATTTTTTTGAATCATCACTGATGGATGACAGAACCATGAACTGCTCAGCTCTGCCACTATGGTAAACTATTAAACAGGAGTCCTTCAGCGTGAGGTGCAACCTTCTGATGTCCCTTCATGCAGCAGTGCCTTTCTCTCCTCAAATCCTCAATATGGATTTGGCAAATTAAATATAAAGCTTGGTAAATGAAGCATGCCATGAATTAATAATGGCAAAGTCTTAGGAATACTTACAACATTCTCAAGACTCAAGTGGTCTTCAGCTGAATCAAGCCTGTACTAAACTACCATAATTAAATTAAAGGAAAATATCTAAACAAAGCAATTAATTTACAAGTGCTATATATGCAATCAAAACTTTCCTAAGTACCCTATGGCTCCACGTCAGTGCTAACTCAACTGCACTCCTTAACTTCTACAAAGGATGTTTGTCTCCTGGCATGATATTGCCCGGCCTAGGATCCAAACCTACGACTGGGAGGTGGAGGCCAGCCTGACCTATGTAGAGAGACTCACAAACAAAAAATAAATAAGAAGCTTATATCGAAAGGCTCCACAACGCTCTGAGGAGCAAAAGGGTCAAACTCCAGTTGCCCGAGGCGCTGAGAGACAACTACGAGAGCGCGTTCAGCACAATGTCAGGCAAACTTCGAGTCTCCAAACGTAACAAAGCAGTCTCGGGCCGTGCAGCTCTTCCACCCGAGGCCTAAAGCACAGCCCCGCACACCAGCGCCCTGTGAGGGACGCGGACGTCGCGCAGACTGGGCCGCTAGAATCTCCGTGGAACGAGACTTACCGCAGCGTCTGCGTTGCCCAGATCCTCAGGTTAGGTATCCACAGTGCACCTACAACATGAATACGCGCTGTCAGCTCTGATTCTCACAGACTTCCCCGTTCCCAAGTTCTAGGAAAGCCTTAAACCTTACCCAACTCTCGCAGCACAGTCGCCGCCATGCTGGCCCTACGGAAGCCCCTGAGTTCAAACGCCGGCTGACAGGACGCACGCGCAGTAGAAGGCCAAACCCCCTAACCCGGAAATTCTGAATGCGTTGTCATGGAGACCTAGAATGCGTGGGTCAGGCGAAAAGTATAGTCAGCTCAGCCTTGCTTTAGAATGAATGACCTCATAAAGACTGAAAAATCAGTGGATTTCCGGAAGTTCTCCTGGATTCAGAAAAATTGTAGTCTCACCCATAAACAGCCTGAAAGAACAGGGGAACCTGTTAATCCCAAAGATTCGAGCCCAAAAATACAAAGAGAAAGACCAGCTACCCAAATCATCATGGCCAAATTAATTAAGCAAGCAATTAATTAAAGCAAGCCTCTTAAATTCATGTACATGAATGAGCTGCCTTCCCTAATACAGGGTTCGAGAGGTCGGCACTGGATCTGAGGAAGACAGGGGTTTTTTAGTTCAGGGATAGAGAGCTCCAAAATGGGGGATTTGGCAAGCAAAATAAGGTGGGGTTATAGGAGCAGAATATAAGCATAAGTTAGTCATAACAAATTCCTGAAACAAAGACATGATCGCAAGGTGCTTGTAACAAGGTAGCCATAACAACCTTTTGCAACAAAAAGTTGCAAGACGGTTTTGAAACAAAGGCATCGTTGGCCTTTCCTGGAAAGGACAATCTGTAGTTAAGGTTACAGGTGGGACATAGCCCAATCCTTGAGAAACAGAGGTTGAATCATAAACAGGAACGAACCTAGTTTCTCTTTACAATAAGATATCTTTTAAGCCTAAGATGGAAGCAGGCTGGTTCATCAAACTGTCTCCCCAGTGGACCTCGTTCTTGTTAGAAATGACAGCAACATCAGCACGTAAGAGACTGGGGTTAAAGAGTCGGGAGCGCAAGGACACACTGTGATACACAAGTCAGGCTCTGTCTCAAAAGAAAAGAAGCCTGGTGTGGTGGCGCATGTTTGTAATCTCAGCATAGGAGAGGCTGAAGCGGGACGATCACAAGTTCAAAGGCACACTAGACTGCAAATTCCAGGCCTTCCAGAACTATGACACCCTATCAAGAAAGAAAGGGGGCAGGGGAAGACATCACTCTCCTTATACAAAGTTTGTGAACATTGTTGAGAAAACTCAAAAACCAAATTGGCAGAGGCAGGAGCATTTCTGTGAGTTCAATGCCAGTCTGGTCTACAAAGCAAGTTCCAGGCTAGTCAGAGCTGCATAGTGAGACCCTGTCTCAAAATAAAACAAAAAACAAATGGAGGCAGTGAAATGGCTCAGCTGGTAAAGGAACTTTCTGCGAAGCCTGACTCAGTCTGCAGACCCCACATTATGGAAGGAGGGAACCAACTCCCGCAAGCTGTCCACTGACGACCTGATTTATTTTATTTTAACAGGCTCTCACACGATAACCCGGGCTGCCTGGCCTGGAGCTCACGGCAATCCTCCTGTATCAGCTCCCTGAGTGCCGGGATTTAGCCAGAGCTCCCAATCATTCGCTGAGTATTTAGTTAACTATATCCTTGCAACTGTCAGAGAAACACTGTCGGGGTGGGGTGGGGACACTCCCAAACTGGCAAAGTACGCCGCTACGTATCTTTAAAAATTTTTTTTAAAAAATTTAAAAATTGGGATACTGAACTGCCCTGAAGACTAAATCGCAGAGGCTGGTTGGCGAGTTCCACCAGTCTAATCCCTTAATTAAAGAAAATGCTTAACCTCAGGGCCCTGAATTCAGTCCCAGGTAGCGCACGCGAACTACAGCACGGCTTGGACCTCGGCGCGCTCCGTAGCACCCGCCTTCAGGGGCGGGGTTCACCTTGGTCCCGCCCCTCCCGCTACACGCCGCGGTTGCGAACCACACCACCGGGGCTGCTCGCCTGAGCCTCGGCGGCCGCGGAGATGAAACCAGAGCCGCTGACGCTGCCGCCGTCACCCAATTGGTACTGCACGCGCTGCAGCGACGCGGCGCCCGGAGGCATCTTTGGCTTCGCAGCGCGGACCTCCGTCTTCCTCGTCCGCGTGGGCCCGAGCGCGGGCGCGAACCCAGGGGCGCCCCCGTTTCGAGGTGAGCCCCCCACGGGCCGACGCGGTCCTTTCTGCCTTGCCTTGCGGGGTCTGTAGGTCGCCGGCTCGCACCAAGCGCCCACGTGGGACCATTACGCTCGGAGGGGCTGGCCCAGACTAGACCCGGCGTTTACCACGCTCCCGGCCTTCCTCCCTTGCCAAGGCCCCGTCCCTTGGGACGCCCGTACCCCTGGGACGCCCCTTGGGATAGGGGCTGTTCTCGGTTCCCTGCTCCCGCAGCGTAATTACGGGATGGTGATTTCTGTAGGATGAATGGGGTGAGGCTGAGTTTGCGCCAGGTGCGATGATGCTTGTCTGTGATCCCTGCTACTCGGGAGGCTGAGGCTGGAGGATTCCCGCACGTTCAACGCCAGCCTAGGCTACATGAGTGAATTCCGAGCCAGCCAGGGCGCCATAACAAGATTCTGACACAAAAGAAAATGAAGCAAACAAAAACCAGGGTTTGATGATGCCTTTTCGTTATGAAATACCATCTTATTCTATTCTTCATGATCTATGGCAAGATTAGGTAAAAATGGCTTTAACATTCACCTGTGGACTAAGTTAAGCCTGGTCCTCGGCCTGTGAACTTGGCCCAACAGAGGATGTGAAGATTGCTTTATAGATGAGAATACTGATGTTCAGAGAAAGTGAATCGTTGTGAAGTCCCGGGGTTCTGGCACCTAGCATTTGTGCCAGAAAACACGGACTCTGTTGTGAGTCCGTGAAGGTTTTTGTTCCACGTGTGTTATGGTGACTCCCAGTCACCGCTTGTTCATCCAGCTGCATGCGTGTTGTCTGGATAGTGGTTTAGTTAAACAAGTCTGGTTTTACTTGCAGTTGTAGGAGAGTTGGTGGGACACACTGAAAGAGTATCCGGCTTCACTTTTTCTCATCACCCTGGACAGTACAACCTCTGTGCCACCAGCTCCGATGATGGGACTGTGAAAATCTGGAATATAGAGACCAAGGCAGTGGTGACAGAGCACTCACTCCATCAGGTAATGTTCATCCCGAGTCCACAGAGTGTTTTAATATGCCTCCTCCATGCGAAGGAATGTTAATAATTGGTGTTCATTTGTTAGATGTGTTGGAAGGGCTTCCAAAACCTTGCTTTTAAGATGCATTTCATTTTTTTTAGAAAACAGTTTGAGGTAGGGGATCTAATGTCCTGGATTCTAGCCCTAGAACTGTATAAATGGGCATGGTGGTGCACACCTACAATTCTAGCACTTGGGAACTGGATTCCAAGGACAACCTGGTCTGCAGGAGCTCCTGTCTCAGAGAGAGACAGAGGTGGGGGGGGGTGAAGACAGACCACAAATGAACTATGCTACCTATTTCTGAAAGTAATACTAAAGTATGACTCCATGTAGTCACTAAGTCTCTTTTATGTATACTGGTAGTTTTTCTGTGAATATATGTCTGCACACTAGAAGATGGCATTCAGATCCCATTATAGACAGTTGTGAGCTACCTTGTGTGTTCTGGAAGTCAAACCCAGTACCTCTGGAAGAGCATCCTTAACCACTGAGTCATCTCTCTAGCCCCTAGTCACTAATTTTCTTTTTCTTTTTTTGGTTTTTCAAGACAGGGTTTTTCTTTTTCTGTGTAACAGCCCTAGCTGTCCTGGAACTACCTCTTGTAGACCAGGCTGGCCACGAACTCACAGAGATCCACTTGCCTTTGCCTCCCGAGTGCTGGGATTAAAGGCGTGCGCCACTACCGCCTGGCATCACTAATTCTTATCTGTGGCTGCTTTCATGATACAACAGCAGAGGTGAGGAACAGTGACAGATACAAGATCTACAAAGTCTAACAGAGTCGATAGGTTTATATATTTTGGTTGTGAGCCTAACCTCTCGCGGCTGGGCCATCCCTCTAGGCCAATAGGTTTATATAAAATAAGCCCCTGGGCAGATAAAATGGCTTTTGCGGTCAAAGTGCTTGTCATGGAAGCCTGACGACCTGAGTTTTGATATTATGTTTAACTTTATGTTGTATGTGTATCAGTGTTTCGCCTATGTGCCTGGTGTCTGTGTTGATGAGAAGAGGTGAGAACCAAAGTGACTGAAGGTTGTTGACCGCATCTGGATGCTCTTAGCCACTGAGCCATCTCTCCAGCTCTCTGAGTAGTTTAATCTCTGGGAACCACATAAGAGTCAGAGTGTGCTGGCTCCATGACTCGTCTGCTGACTGCCATGCACTCAGCTGTGACACGTGCTCTCCACAGCACAAAAAAAAAAGGAAAGAAATTTAAAAGAAACAAACAAAAATCTTTGGGGTTCGAGAGAAGGTTCAGCAGGTAAGAGTGTTTCCCGCTCTCCCAAAGAACCCAAATTGGGTTCCCATCACCCAGGTGTGTTATCTCACAACTCAGCGCCCCACTCCAGTCCCCACATACAAACAAATGGCATGAACTTGCACAATCACATATAAATGAAAGCCCATGGTAGTGCATGACTGCAATCCTGTACTCAGGAGACTGAGGCGAGAGGATTGCTCTGAGTTCCAGGCCATCCTCTGGACTCCAGAGTGAGACTAAGTCTCAAAAACACAAAAAGTTCTCAGTTTAGATTTAACATATTACTATACAGGTAGCTATAGACTTAAGTGCCTGTAATGTGCCTTACATTAGGTTGGTTTACAGTACGACACTGGCAGATGAGACTTACCTGGTTTTGCTTTGTTTGAAGCACACAATATCAGCCCTGCATTGGTCTCCGACAGTTAAGGACTTAATAGTCTCTGGGGATGAAAAAGGAGTTGTTTTCTGTTACTGGCTTAACAGAAATGACAGCCAGCACTTCTTCCCGGAGCCCAGGACCATTTTCTGTCTTACTTGTTCACCTCATCATGAAGATTTATTAGCCATTGGGTGAGTACCAAGTACCATGCTATCTGTAGATGATTTGGTTTAATTTATGGTCCTGCTTTTCATTCTCCTTGCCTTGTATGCCTCAGTCCTCAGAGGAAGCCTGCAACCATGTGATCTCTCAAGCCATACTTTTCTCCACTCCCCCTCTTACCATAACAGTATGTTTTCTTCCCTCTTTCCATCTGATTTTTCCCGTCACTCTCCAATGTTAGTAGTGTGTCCTTTGTCTCAGCTCACTTATACTGCCCTTGGATGTGGCATTGACTCCAGAGTGTCAGATGACTCTGCTTTGGGTCTGGCACTACATACTGAACTAGGGATCCATGCATCCTAACATGTACCTCACAAACAGGACATTTATGAAGCTTTGGGATGTACAAAGTAAAATTGTGTCTTACTTGGGAATATTTATAAGAAAGGCTAGGGATGCTAGATCACAAGTCAGAAAGCAAAGCAGAAATTTGGTAGGAGGTGATATAAACTGATTTGGTGGGTTTTTTTTCCCTTAAGCTAGGTAGTACTTTAAGGCAGTGGTTTTCAACCTTCCTAATACTGTGATCCTTTAATACAGCTCCTCATGTTGTGGTGGCCCCCAACCATAAATTATTTTTCGTTGCTATTTCATGACTAAATTTTGCTACTGTTAAGAATCATAGTGTAAATATCTATACTTTCTGATGGTTTTAGCTGACCCTGTGAAAGGTCGTAAAGGGTCATGGTCCACAGGTTGAGAACTGATGGTTTAAGGTTTGGTAGTTGGTTTTTGTTTGCTTGTTTGTTTTTAACGTGTATGAATATTTTACCTGCATGTTTGTACACCATGTGTTTACAGTGACCTAAGTAACCAGAAGAGGGCACCAGATCCTCTGGGATGAGTGACAGATGGTTCTGAGCCATCTTGTGGATGCTGGGACTTTAGATCCTTTGGAAGAACAGCCAGTGTTCTTAGCTAGCTATCTCTCCAGCCCCCAGTAGATACTTTTTATATGTCCAAAATAATTCACTTTTTAAAAAGCTACTAGAACTTCTCAGTTTATTCTGAATTTGTAGATTGACACTTAGGACAAATATAGCTCTAGGATAAATACAGCTCTCAGATACAGTGGGTCTTAGGATAAATACAGCTCTCGGATACGGTGTGTCTTAGGGTTTCTTTTGTTGTGAAGAAATGCCATGACCACACGACTCATAGAAAACGTGTAATTGGGCCTGGCTTACAGTTCAGAGGTTTAGTCCATTCACGTCATGGCAGGAAGCTTGGTAGTGTGCAGGCAGGCATGGTGCTGGAGAAGGAGCTGAGAGTATTACACCTTGATCTGGAGGCAACAGGAAAAGATGCCCAACACAGGTTGTAGCTTGAACATCTGAGACCTCAAAGCCCACCCGAACCCCCCACCCCCAGTGACACACTTCCTCCACCAAGACCACATCTATTCCAACAAGGTGACAGCTCCTAATAGTGCTATTCACTATGGGCCAAGCATTCAAACACATGAGTCTATGCAGGCCATTTCTGTTTAACCACCACACAGTGTAATAGTTCCTGTTAGGTTTGTAGTTGGAAAGTAGTATCACTCGTGGATACTAAAGTAGTATCTCTTGTGGTAAAGTGCTTGTCTGGCATGTCCACAGTCCTGGGTTCAGTCCCCAAATACGTGGGCTCGTGCCTGTGATCTCAGCACCTAGGAGGTAGATGCAGGAAGATCAAAAGTTTATCATCATCCTTGTCTCATAGTGGGTTTGTGGCCAGTCTGGGATGCTTGAGGCTTTCTCAAGGAAAGGGGAAGAAAGTTTATTAGCCAACTGCTTTATTTTTTAATAACATTTCTAACTAATTTGTTTCCACTCTCAAAGCAAGAACAATACAGACAAGCTGTAAATCCAGTGGGTACTGGGAGGTGGGGTGGAGAATGGGAGAAAGTCCTGTCTTTTCAGTTAATCTTAGCCCTGGAGGTTTATGAACAGATGTAAAAGGAGGTGGGGCATGGCGGGGAGGGAGACTTCAGAGAAAATAGTAGAATTTAGAGTCTCAGGTCAAGCATACATAGGATTTGAGTTGGTATCTGACAGGACAGAAAAGAAGAAAAGGAAAAGTTGTGCTGCCTGGGTTAGAACTCAGAAAGGGGAGAGGCTTAGCAGTGTGAATCTGCAGGCCCTTGCGATGGTTCTAACTTATTTTTCAGCTACAAGGATGGTATAGTGGTTATCATTGACATCAGTAAGAAGGGAGAAGTCATTCACAGGCTTCGAGGTCATGATGATGAGATCCACTCCATAGCCTGGTGTCCTTTGTCTGGTGAAGACTGCTTACCCGTAAACCAAGAGGAAAACTCAGGTAAGATGATCGAAGGAGGCTTTGTTCTCCTCAGACCTAAAGAACTAAGTGTTGAATTGCTACTTCTGAATTATACGTAAAACTTGAGCCTCACAGATCAGACTATGAAAGGGAGAGCTAAGTTTTGGGAAGTAGCTTTTTTTATTCACAAGTGCTTGTTCATTGTGAATTAAAAATAAAATTGCCATCTCTTTCCTAGAAGAGCCTGACATTCCCAATGGGAAACTTGTAGCAGAAACCCCCATCACAAAAGGCTGCTACTTAGCCACGGGAAGCAAGGATCAGACCATTCGAATCTGGAGCTGTTCCCGAGGGCGGGGTAAGGTTGATTCCTAGTGTTTGTACCTTTCATTTCTGTTGCTAAAATAGCCACAACAAACCAACTTGGAGGGAGTAAGAGTGTGTTCGGTTTAACTCAGGTTTTGGTCCATCATTTATTTTTTTTTTAAAGATTGCTTGGCTATTCATTTATGTGTATGAGTATTTTGCATACACATATGTTTATATACTATGTATGTGCTCATGGAAGCCAGAAGAGGGCATTGGATACTCTAGGAACTATAGTTATAAACTGTTCTTGCTCCCCATGTGGGTGCTAGAAACTGAACCTGGCATTTCTAGAAGAGCAACAAGTCCTCCTAACTGAGAGCCATTTTTCTCCAGTCCCCTACAGTCCATTGTTTTAGAGAAGCCAGAATGAACTTGAAGCAGCTGGTTACACCAACAGTTGGGGCTGGTGCATGCACACCTACTGCTCAGCTTTCTCTACCTAAACCAAGGATGGGGCCACCCATTTGTAGGCTGTTCTAGCTTCCTTTCTGTTGCTCTGGTAAAACAGACCAAAAGTAACTTAAGGAAGGAAAGGTTTTATTTCACTTTATAGGTTGCAGTCTGTCATTGAGGGAAGTCAAGGCAGGAGTTGAAGGAGAAACCATCCAGTGGAGAAACACCACATGGTGGCTCATTCCCTGACTTTTGCTTAGCTGACTTTCTTGTACAGGCTGGGACCACCTATGCAAGAATATATCCCATAGTGGGCTGTCCCTCCTGTATCTGTTGGCAATCAAGATGGTTCCCCCACAGGCATGCTCAGAGGCCAAACTAATCTAGATAATAGCTCACTGAGACTCTCTTCCCAAGTTTCCTGTATTCTGTCTCAGTGTCTCTTTGGTGGCAAAGCTTGTACTGCTACAGTAGAATTAGCTACTTGTGTCTGTTTTCTGGTGCCTTCCAGAAGGCAAGGACCCTTGCTTTGCTGAAGGAGCTGTGCCTACCATGCCAGGCAAGGCTGTCCTTGATCTTACTATGTAGACCAAGGTGTCCTGAGACTCACAGAGATCCCCCTGAGAACAAGATCTTTACTGTAAGAGCAGGGATAATGGATTTTCCTTGACTCTTAAGAATGGAAGAAACCCTAGTTGTAGCTCCTAGAGACAAATACAGAACAGGTGATACAGACCCAACATGCGCACTGTGCACTTGAACAAGCTTGCTATGTTCGCATTGTCTTCAGGCTTCTATTTATTGCTGTTGGGTAGACAATGTGCATGTGAGGGTCAGAGGTAGCTCTAGAGTTGGCTCATACCTTTATGTGGGTTCTAGGGATCAGGTCATCAGATGTATGTGACCAACTGTCTGACCACTGAGCTGTCTTGCAAGGATCACCACTTTGTTCAAATTAACCTAAACATACACCCACAATTGGACCTCCCAGGACATCTGTCTGAGGATCCCTGAACATGATGCTGTATACAATGGCCTGTTCCCCTTGAACAGCAGACCTGCTGGAGAGTACTGAAAAAGTTCAGTTTTCCAGGCCCCACTGGGAGTCTCCTGAGTTAGATCTCTGAACTCAGACCCTGGAATGTGTGTTTTTAATGTTTTGCTTGTGGTTATGGTGAACAGCACAGCCCTCCAGGTCAGTACCAGTGGTAATTTCCCTGACACAATGTGTCAACTGCCAGATTTGCTCATTACAGTTATAGCCAACTAGGACTGTGGGTCGAAACCCCTTTGAGGGTCACATGACCCTTTGACAGGAGTTACTTACCAGTTATCCCACATATTGACATTATGATTCATAGTAGCAGCAAAATTAGTTTTGAAGTAGCACTGAAAATAATTTTGTTTGGCGTCACCACAATATATGGAACTGTATTAAAGGGTCTCAGCATTAGGAAGGTTGAGAACCACTGATCTAGGGAAATCCCACTGTCCTGCAATTGTTGACAATTTCAGGTAGGTTCTCATTCTTATTAAAAACTCACTTTTCCACATAAAAATACTCAAATGTTCACGTGTATACACATGCATCTACAGGCAAAGGGTAACCTTTGGTGTTATTATTCAGGTGCCATTTAAAGACATAATTTCTCACTAACTTGGACTTGACAAGTCGGCTAGACTGGATGGTTAGCCAGGGAACCCTTCTTCTGCCTCTGTAGCACTTGGAGCATATGCTAGCTATCATGTCTGGCTTTGTTTTGGTTTACGTTTTTTGGGTTTTTTTTCCCCCGGGTTATTCTGTGTAGCTTTGAAACCTATCCTGGAACTTCCCTTGTAGACCAACCTGGCCTCGAAATCATAGGGATCCACCTCCCAAGTGCTGGGATTAAAGACGTGTACCACCACCTGGCATGCCTGGTTTTTATATGGGTCCTGGGATTCAAATTCGAATTTTAATCCCTGTAAGGATTATGAACTGGGTTATCTCCACAGCCTATTCCAAGCAAAGATACTCTTTGATTTTTCGAGACAGAGCTTTTCTGTGTAGCCTTGCCTGCCCTGGAACTCGCTCTATAGTCCAGGGTGGCATTGAACTCAGAAATCCACCTGCCTCTGCCTCCTGAGTGCTGGGATTAAAGGTAGATCACCACCTCCCTGCACAAAGTACTCCTAATTTTTCAAGTTTTTGGAGAGCCTGTAAAAGCCTGTTTGGCCTAAATGGCTAGATTGGAGTTAACCTCTCTCTATCTTAGTAATGCTCCTATAATAAAAGGAGGTGTTCTTTGTGTGTGCACATGTGTGTGCTGGTGTTGTTAGGCATCTTCCTCAGTTCTTCATGTTTGTGGTGTTGTTTCTCTCAGACTTGTTTTTGAGACAGGATCTCTTTGAACCTGCAGCTTAGTGATGAGGCTGGAGTAGCAGCTGGCCAGCAAGCTCCAGGGCTCTGCCTGTGTCTTTACCCCAACCGCAGCAGACTTCTTTCAATGGGTGCTGGAGTCTTTGTGCTCACATGATGAATACTTTACTGAGTCATCACTCTTGCTCCCAAGGTTTTCCTGTAACTTAATCAGACAACTTGAGACCATAGAATTGAGGCTTTCTGTAAGGTTCAGGTTATTCTTTCACTGTTTTGAGAGCTCATTGACTTTCTTATCTACAGGGATAATGGTTTTGAAATTGCCCTTTCTGAAGAGGAGAGGAGGGGGTGTGGACCCAGCAGTTAAAGAACGTCTTTGGTTGACACTTCATTGGCCCAACAACCAGCCAACACAACTGGTATCCAGTTGTTTTGGGTAAGTCTTAGGGTCATGCTTTCTAATAAATATACATTTTCCTGTTCAAATTTGGAAATTTCAAGGCTTATTGTATGTTCAAAAAATGAAGAAATAGGTGGCACATGCCCTTAATCACAGCACTTGGGAGGCAGAGTCAAGCAGATCTCAAGTTAAAGGCCAGCCTGATCTACAGAGTGAGTTCCAGAACAGCCAGGGCTACACAGAGAGACCCTGTCTTGTGTGTGTGTGGAAGGGGGTGGGGGGAATGGACAAATAACCAAAGTTTATGTTATCATTGTAATTTTAAAAAAAAAATTCAGAGTCTGATGTATGGCACAGATTAGCCTAGAGCTTAAGGATCCTCCTGCCTCAGCTTCTTAAGTGCCTCACCTTGCCCAACCATCTTAGCATAGTAAATGAAATAATAGATGGGAAAATTTGTGCGGCCTGTGCTGTTTACTAACAGAATCATGGCTCCTCGGGGTGTCTTTGCAGGCTAAGTCATCTCTCTACTCCCCCCACCCACATGCACATGTACATGCTAATTGAAAACCCTAAGTGGTTTGACTTGAGCTTGCTCTGTAAACCAGGGTTTACGGAGAGTTCCCTGGTTCAGTTCATTGACATGAGCCACTCATAAAACTTACCTGTTTATACAGATATTCAAAGAGGTACAGTTGAAATGAGATGCTCAGGGCAACATGTGAGAAAGAGAAAGCATCTCCATTCCTTCTTTGGGCTTTATGGACTCATCATTAAATACATGTAATTGATGAAGCCATCTGTGACCAGCTTATCTTGATCCCTCCCCTTCCTTAATATTGGAATGGGACTGCAAGTCACTCCCCTATCCTGCCTGGATCTGCTGAGTGACCAACTAACATCTTGAAGCTACCTAGAGGCTGCAGGTACCAGCTTAATGTGCAAAAGATACTGCTTCAGAGGTACATGCCAACAAGAGCAAAGACTAAATATGTATTTCATAGTGCCAAATTGCCCCTGGTTGCCAAAGACGCTGAGAGAATTTCACAGGCTAGTTCCTTGCTTTTAAATAAGACAACAGAAAAACACATGCAGGTTGTCCAGAATATCAGCCACACTCCCTCCTGTCATGTACCACCTCAAAAATGATAAATCTTGAACCTTGCAAGTTTTAGTTGAATTTTATAAATTAAAGCTAATTGTGAAGATAAATGCCTTTAAAAGGTAGTACATTAGTGCATGGACATTGCTAGGCCCTGCCTAAAACAGCCAGAGGCTGGGGCAGAATGATCATCAGACTAGCCTGGGATACATAGCAAGACTCTCTCAAAAAAAAAACCGTTTTAAAAAAATATTTATTTATTTTTATGTTCATTGGTATTTTGCCTTCATCGCATGTATATCTGCATGAGAGTGCCAGGTCTCCTGGAACTGGAGTCAGACCGTTGTGAACTGCCATGGGCGTGCTGGGAATTGAACCCTGGTTCTCTGGAAGAGTAGCCAGTGCTCTTAACCACTGAGCCATCTCCCTAGCCCCTCAGAAAAACTTTTTAAAAAGTTAGTCCTGTACATTGAACTTTGAAGAATAAAAGCATACAGGAATCCTTCCCTCTGCTACCTTCCAGAAGCACTTCCTTTTCCTTCCTGTAGATGGGTAAAGATAGGACTGCGTGTTGCAGTTTCGTTGCTTTGCTTTAAAATATTTTAGAGATGTATTTTTTTATTGTGTGTGTTCTCACGTTTGCCATGGCTTGTGTGTGGAGTTGAGAAGAGGGCAACTTCTGGGAATTGGTTCTCTCTCTCCATCATATGGATTCCAGAGATAGGACTCAGGTCAGGCTTGGAGGCCAGTGCTTTACCATTGAGCCATATCACTAGCCCATTGTTTATTTTTTGTTGTTGATATTTTTGGTTGGGGAAGGGTGTCACTATGTGGTTGTGGCTAACCTGGAACTCTATGTAGATCAGGATGGTCTCAAACTCACAGAGGTTCACCTGCCGCTGCCTCCCAGGTGCTGGCATCAAGGGTATGCACCACCACTCTGGTCCTTTGTTAATTTCTGAAGGTTCTCACAAATAGAGCTGTCCTTGAACTTCCTCCTGCCTCAGCCTTCTCAGCTGAATTTAGACAAGTGCATGCCTCCATACCTAACTCAAAAAAACAGTTTCTGTCTTTTGTTTTGTTGCTTTTGTTTATTGGGGGGTGAGATCTCTATAGCTGTGGCTGTCTTGGAACTTGCTCTATACACTAGGAACTCACAGAGAGCCTCCTCTGACTACTGAGTGCTGAAATTAAAGGCTTGTGCCGCTGCCACCACTGTTACCTGGCAAAAAACAGTTCTGTTTGGGCACACAATGAATTTGTAAAGCAGAAAGTGTGACCACCAAGGGAGGGCCTGCAGCAGTTGAGACTGACAGTTTAAAGCTGGTTGTAAGCGCTGTCAGAAGCTGATGAGCTCACTTGTGAAAGAGTTTTCCCCGTGGCAAACCCCATTCTCCTCGGGAGAGCGGTGTGCCTTCTGTTTCCTGTTAGGAAGCCTCTTGAGCTGAGAAGAGGACTTAGTCTCACTCCTCTATCGTGCAAATGACCAAGGGAGCCTTTTCCACATGTCCTACGACTGAGGGTCCAGACTGTCTGAATAGCTGCTGAGAGGTGTGCTCTTGCCCTGTCAGGGGCGAGCTGCTGCTGTGGGACCTCACCCAGTCGTGGAGACGGAAGTACACGCTCTTCAGCACCTCAACAGAAGGGCAGAATCACTCCAGAATCATCTTCAACTTGTGTCCCCTGAAGACTGAAGATGGCAAGCAGCTGCTACTGTCCACGTCCATGGACAGAGATGTAAGAAGTGTGTGTGGCAGGGTTGGGGCCGGGAGGTGTCTGTCCTCATACACATCTCTGCACTCCAGTTCAGAGCTGCTGCCATCAGGTGCACTGGATATGGCAACAACAGAAGCTGTGAAAAGCGGCTAGAGACATTTGTTTGGGGTTTTTGTTTGTTTGTTTGTTTTGTTCCAGATAGGGTTTCTCTGTGCCACAGTTCTAGCTGTCCTGGAACTAGCTCTTGTAGACCAGGCTGGCCTCAAATTCACAGAGATCCACCTGCCTCTGCCTCCCAAGTTCTGGGATTAAAGGTGTGCACCAACAACGCCCAACTAGAGACACTTTTTGGAGACAGGTTTCTAGCCTGGCCTGACTTTGAATTACCTTGAACTTCTGCTCCTTTTGCCTCCACCTTCCAAGTGCTATAACCACGCCTGGTTATATTGGGGACTAGAGCTGCAGCTTCGTGGTGAGCAGGTGCTCTACCAACTAGCTAACTGCCCTGCAGCCCTAACCCTTAATTTTAATTTTTCTCTTGCACTGCCTGGACGTGAAGTGCGGGGCTTGTGTCAGGCAGCAGCTCTTGATTGGTATTCTTTGGGGAGGCCATGCACACTCTGTCACAGTTGTGAGAGCAGCGGTTAGCACTGCTGGGACCTGCAGAGATGGCGAGCCTGTGTTGCAGGGTGTTGAACTCACTGAGCATGTCCAGAAATGGGTGTGCTCCTAGGTGGATTTGAGCTCTGTGATAAATTGCAGATTTGTTTCCTCATAAGAGAAGCTTCTCCCAGTTCCTTCTGGAAGAATTAGATTCACTCCCATTTGAAATATTTAATTCTTAACCCCATTTCTTTGCTTTTTTTTAACCTTTATTTTAGGTAAAATGTTGGGACATGACCACTCTGGAGTGCTGCTGGACATTGCCTTCTCTTGGAGGTTTTGCCTACAGCCTGGCCTTTTCTCCTGTGGATGTGGGCTGCTTGGCCATAGGTGTTGGCGATGGCATGATCCGGGTGTGGAATACGCTCTCCATAAAGAACAACTATGAAGTGAAAAGCTTCTGGCAAGGAGTCAAGTCCAAGGTTACAGCGGTAAGGGAGCTTCTTGGAGATTCTTTTCAGATTCTTTTTAGACTCTGCTGGAAATCAAAGGATGTTTAAGGTATCTGTGATGAAGCATGAACTTCTCACTGTGTAAGCTCTGAATGTTCTAGATTCTTCCATCAGTTCAGAGTGCTGCGAAATCGCTTAAATATTTGAGGCGTGTGGGTTTGGCCCTAGGTTGTGTTGACTGATGAGGATGCAGTGATTTTAGCTTTGTTTCTCTTTTTCTTATTACATTTATTTGTTTGTGTGTTGGGGGTCAGTTCTTCATATGAGTCTTGGGAGGTTGAACTCGGGTGGTAAAGCTTGAAGGCAAGCACTTTTACCTGCTGAGCCGTTAATGGCCCTTAATCTTGGTTTCTCTGTAGCTTTGGAGGCTGTCCTGTAACTATCTCTTATAGACCAGACTGGCCTCGAACTCAGAGATCCGCCTGCCTCTGCCTCCCAAGTGTTGGGATTAAAGGCATGTACCACCACTGCCTGGCTCCTTAATCTTGTTTTAATCCTTCTTTTTCTTTATTAAATAATGAGAATTAAATGAAAAACAAAAAAGTTTCCCATGAAACAGCCAGGACTGCATACGACTTCTTCCTGTGTCCTCGTCTCTCATCCGGAAACTTCTCTTGTAGCTCTGCTGGCACCCAAACAAGGAGGGCTGCTTGGCGTTCGGAACTGATGATGGAAAAGTGGGATTGTATGATACCTGTTCCAACAAGTAAGTATAGTGACTCTCCCTCAACTTAGTGACCAGAACATCTGTGATGTAAGGTTTAACTTGGAGTCCATAAACACAAAAAAGTTGTTTTAGAGTAGAATCTTTTGGCTCTGGTACTGAGGTTCAGAACTCAGAATTTTCTTTATAAACTTTTTTTTTGAGGCGCTAAGACCATAACTCAGTGGTGGAGACCTTGACTGGCATGTGCGACATCCTGAGTTTAGTATCTGAGCCTTATAAACTCAGAAATGCAGGTCCACATCATTGATTTCAGCATTAGAGAGGTAAAGGCAGAAAGATGAAGAGTATAGGCCTTCAGAAATCTGTCTCAAAAGAGAATGAGAAGAAGAAATTCGTTTTCTAAGGGATGACAGTGTAGCCTGACTGCTCTTTAGGAACCACAAAGATGGACTGGAGAGATGGCTCACCTTTTAAGAGGACTGGCTGCTCTTCCAGAGGACCTGGGTTCAATTCCCAGCACCCATATGTCAGCTCACAACTGTTTATAACTCCAGTTCCAGGGGTCTGACAGCCTTACACAGACATATATGCAAACAAAACACCAAAAATAAATAAATAAATAAATAAATAAATAAACAAGAACCATTAAATAATTTAAAAAAGAAAAAAACACCAAGATAAACCTTGACTTTTTGTATGAAAGTTTCCAGACACAAAGCTGAAAGACTAGTGGAGAGACACACATGTGCCTTTTCTGTTTGATCTGTGGTTCTCCATGTCTTGTCTTGGGGATAGGGATATGGTTGACTTGGTTGAGCATTTGCCTAGCACCAAAAATACAAAACAAAGCTTGGGCAGTGTGACGATGAGACTGGGCATGGTGGTGCACGCTTTAAATTCCAGCACTTGGGAGGCTAAGGGAGGTGGATCTCTTCAGTTGGAGGCCAGCCTGGTCTATATAAGAAGGCACTTTTCTCAAAATAAAAGCAAGTACAATGTAATGGTGCTATTGTGTGTGTTTGTAAAGCCCTGTTATGACTGAGAAAGTTTCAGACTTTTGTGATGCACTGACATCTGGACTTAGACTTTTTTCCTAGGTGAAAGGCAAATGTTTTCTGTTTTCTGAGGTGATTTCCGTTTGGGTTCTGTGTCATGTTTGGTTATGTCTTAGCTGTGCTTTCCTCTGGAATATCCGCTTCTTTCCATAGCATTGGTGCATTCCTTCAACTGTTCCTTGCTGGCCTTAAACTAGCTCCATAGCAGAGGCTAGCCTTGGCCTCATAGTCCTTCTGTCTTTTGATGTTCTAGAATTATAGGCAGCCATCACCTCATATAATGTATTTACTTTAGTGATTTATTTGACTCATACTAAGTCAATATCACTTGTTCCTTTCTCTCTCTCTCTCTCTCTCTCTCTCTCTCTCTCTCTTTGTCTTTCTTTTCCTTTTTGACACAGCATCTCTGTGTATCAGAGGCTGACCTGAAACTCATAAGGATCATCATATCATGCCTGACCTCTTTGGTCTTTTCTGACATGACTTCTAGCGAGTTCTAGGTTACATTTGGGGTTTGTGTTTTTGACTCAGACTTCATATTGGACACAGCTGACTACAGGTTAGAGCTGCTTATTCAGTTCAGCAGCCCCTTGTCACACATGGCTATTGATACTGAAAGTAATTGAAATAACATGAGTTTAGAATACAGGTCTTCATTTACACTGGCCACATTTCAAATCACAAGAGCAGCATGTGACTGAGAATGCTCCTTTCTAACCGTGGGAATGGAGTGGAGCCAGTGTTCCATGGCATAGGGAGAAGCAGTATGACAGTCTCAGTCTGTGTAAATAAAATTCTGTAGGAACTCATCCGCACTCACTGATTGCATCCTGCTGGATGCTTCCACACCACAGCACCCACGTGACTTCAGCACCTGACCTGCTCACTGTCCCTTTATGGGAAAGGATACGAGATCCATTTCTACTGCAGAGCTACCCTGTCTGCATGTCCTTCCTCCCTCTGCCTTACCTCTTTCTGTCTTTCTTTTCTTTGCTATGATAGAGATCTTTTCTACTGCTGTGATAAAAGCATGACCATGACCAAAATAAAGAGATTAATCTGAGGTTCCCAGGTCCAGAGGAACCATGACCAGCTTGGCAACAGGCAGGCATGGCACTGGAGCAGTAACTGAGAGTTTACATCTTGACCCACAAGCTAGAGGCAGGGAGAACTAACCTGGAAATGAAGCTGACTTTTGAAACCTCAAAGCCCATCCCCAGTGAGACACCTTCATCAAGGCTACACCTTCCCAAACAGGACCAAGAATTCAACCATAAGAACCTATTTGGACCACTCTCATTCAGACCTTTGTAGGCCTCATGGATGTTAATCATCTAAGTTGATTCCCCAATCTATATGCAGCGCTTTAACAATTTATGGAGAGCCTACATCTGTTTGACTATTTCTCCCTTTTTGCTTAAATACTGTTTCAAAGGGGTATATAGCTAAACAAAACTATGTTGATTTAAGTAGCACTAAATCGTCCCATAAGTACTCAGTCTACCAGTAGATGAGCTGTGAGCTAGGATGGAAGGTGTCACTGTTTGACGTCAGGATGGTTTATTTTGTTGCTTTGAGCCGAAGAGATTTGTGCAGTCTCTCAGTGCTGTGTGTCTGATACTTCAGTCAGTAACATGGCTCCTTCAGCACGGGTTCTGGAGTTCTAAATCTGTACCTAGACCATGATTGACACTAAAGTCATAACAGTGCTGTTTTTTCCCAAGAAGTCAAGCCTTGTCGCCCCTAAGAGCAAGATACCCTGGGATACAGTAAAAAAACTTTAAGAGATCTGCCTCCTTTCAGGGTTTACTGCAGTTTAAGAGTGTAGTGCTGGCTGGACTTGGCTTGGTGGTACACACCTCTAACCCCAGCATTCAAGAGACAGAGGCAGATGGATCTCTGAGTTCCAGGGCAGTCAGATCCACATGAGGCCCTGTCATCCCTCAGGCTGGGTGACTGGTTGTCACAGCCTCTGTACTCCTTCATAGCTACAGAAATGCTAAATTCTTGGCGTTGCTTTGCTATTAGCTCTTTAGAGAAACAGAAGTAAAAAATGATTCTAACTGGCCAGCGGGGTGGGCAGTGCGTTCAGTGCTTGTTTTAGTGGTAGATATTACATGATAAGTTTTGCTTTTTAATAACCAACTATTTGGGGCAAAATTAAATTGTTTTTTTCTAATACCAACAACTACATGTGTGGAAGGACCTTTCAGAGAAAGATGGTCTGTTTTCTAGTGGGCCTCTTTATTCAAGTCATTCTGTTCTCCCCATCCACAGACCTCCACAGATTTCAAGCACGTATCATAAGAAGACTGTGTACAGGTTGGCTTGGGGGCCACCAGTCCCCCCAATGTCACTTGGTAAGTGTCTTGAGTCATTCTTAACACACACGAGTGTGTTCTCCATTTTATTTATTTTTTTTTAATTATTTTTATTTCATGTTCAATTCGTGTTTTTGCCTGCATGTATGTCTGTATGAGGGTGTCAAATTCCCTGAAACTGGAGTTACAGACAGTTGTAAGCTGCCATGTGGGTGCTGGGAATTGAACCCAATTCCTCTGGAAGAACAACCAGTGCTCTTAACCATTGAGCCATCTCCCAAGCCTGTGTTCTCCATTTTAATTAGAGCCTGAAGGCCGTGTGTATCTCTCTGTGCGCGCACATAGGTGCACCATGTCTCCAGGAGTCTGTGTGAGCAGCAGAGGTGGATGATGTTGAAGATTAAAGGAAAAGCTTAACTCCTGCCTCCCCAGCTCTGAAGTACTGCTCTTTTTTTGAGCTGGGCCTTCCACTGCACAGAGGAACCTCAGACTGGGTGCTGGCCTTGGGTTGCTAAGGTCTCTGTCTTTCACTCCTATAGCTCTGCCCCTCCTTACTTTCCCACCCTGGCTGCTGCTGATTCCCATAAATTAATATGTCTTCTTAATATCTTTTAAAATGAGTCAGAAGTTTTTCCACGCTCTTTCCTACTCTGCTGAAGTAGCACTGGCTTTGTGTAGAGGGTTGTGTTGCAAACAGGAGATAGCTTTACAACTAAGGGCTGTGCCCTGAGACACAGCCTTGGCCATGGGAATCCTGGACTCTGTGTTCACACAAGCCGTAAGATTCTCGTTTCTGGAAGAAAAACTACATTGTCAGCTTTTATTTGAGACCATAACGTTTTCTCTGATCACATCTTTAGTGTTGATGCTCCTGAATGTCAGAAGAGCTTTTGCAGTGAACACAGTATCACAGAAGTGAACTATTTTTCCTTCTTCTCACAGCTTTCCAGATTGGTAGGAGGGTGGCTTTTCCACAGCATGTTAGATCTTTCCCCACCCACAGCTGGGAAATAAAGCCGATGTTAACCGTGGTGTGCTGTGCTAATGCTGTAGCTATGGAAGCAGCTACCCCGGTAAAGTGAGAAACTCAGGTGTCTTTCCTTCATAGGAGGGGAAGGAGACAGGCCTTCCCTCACCTTGTACAGCTGTGGAGGGGAAGGCATTGTGCTGCAACATAACCCCTGGAAGCTCAGCGGAGAGGCCTTCAACATCAACAAGCTTGTGAGGGACACCAATTCCATCAGAGTGAGTTCAGTGGGCTGGGGTCCACTCAGCTTCCTTTGGTTTTTCTTACTCAGGGCCTTCTGTAGATGCCTGTCATGCTTAGCCAGAATGCTCAGATAGTTGATAAAGCTATTGGTGAATTTGTGGGTTGCCTGTTAGACCATAGAGATATTTATCATTGAGTAAAGCAAAGAACTGTATGGGACACTTAATTGCAATAGTAAGATAAAAAAAAAAATCTTCCTCATCTTCACAGTAAAGCATCCTTTTGATTTGGTTTGTTTGGGTTTGGGGTTTTGGGGGGGGTTTGTTTGGTTGGTGGTTTGGTTTGGTTTTTGAGACAGGGTTCACCATATATAGTCCTGACTGTCCTGGAGCTCACTGTGTCTTACCTAGCTGCCTCTCCTTTGCTTCTCAAGTGCTGGAGAAAAGGTGTGCATCCTTTTGAGGCTAGCTTTCCAGCTAGTAGCGCCCTGTTGGCAATGGTGTCCTCAGGCCTTGTCTGCTGTTTTCTTGCGATATGGAGACTTCATATTAACCCAGGCTGGCTTCCTGCTCCTCCTTCCTCAGGTGCTAGGTTGCAAGGCTGTGTTCACAGAGTCACACATGCACAGCAATACAAAACATTCTCTTGGGACCTTTGCCTAGATCTCACATCTAAACACATTTGCTTTGACTTTGTATCATTGTATTTTATGACTCTATTATTTTATCTTTCTTTTTTGAGACAGGATCAAACATAACTCAGGCTGGCCTCAAGCTTGGTTCCTGCCTCTACCCTCCAGGTGCTAGCATGACAGGTGTGCTCCACAGTGCCTGGCTTCTACAGGTGTCCTTAAGTCAAATCATAAATATTGAGATTTCCTTACCCTTGCAAATGAGCAGTTTTCATTGCTGCTTTTCATTTTTTGTATGCCTACCACAGGTAACATGATCATAAATCATATGCGATTGTATTCTTTCATTTTCTCCAATGTTGTCTGTGTGTTAACATACAGTAATGAGCAAAATTCCTGTCCTCACAAGGTTTTAGCTGAGTGACAGCTGAGTTTCTGTATTAGAGTTCAAATGAGGATTCTGTACAGGAGATAGAAATTTGGAATCTCTTCACATAAATGACTTTGAAAAAGCCGTGGGTGGGTAATAGAGTAAACAAAAGAAACAAGTAAGAAAAATAGGGTCATGGGGCCAATGACATGCACAGCAGGTGAAAGTGATTGCCACCCAGCCTGACTACCTGAGTTCTACATAAAGGTGGAAGGAGAGATTCTGATCACAGAGCTGTCTTCAGATTTCTACACACACACATAATAAACATATTTTTAAGAAAAGGAAGCAAACAGGCAAGATCCTGACAGGCCCTGTGTAACAGCTGTTTTGATTTCTAACAGTATACTTGTGGGGAAATGCTGGGGAATGTGCCTTTTGCTAAGGGGACTGTCTTTTGGTTAGCGTATATTCTGTAAGGTGAAAGGCTGCAGATAGTACTTCCTGGCCTCTGTTCCATTTAAGAAGCTGCAGTCAGAGTACTTGTTCTCAGTAACTCTTTGGCTGAATGTGGTGTTATTCTAGAAAACTGCCCTTCAAAATTAGAACATGCTTTAACTCCAGGGATTTTTTTTTTCCCACATGATGTCATTGAATTATAAGATGAAGAGCAGAAAGATGTTTTTTACACCCGTGCCTTGCTTGTTCTACTTTCTAGTATAAACTGCCTGTGCACACAGAGATCAGCTGGAAAGGAGATGGCAAGGTCATGGCTCTGGGCAATGAAGATGGGTGAGTGTGTCCTTTACAAAAAGTTGTAATATTGTAGCATTCACTAGATGGCCAAGGCTTTCTGCAGTGCCTAGTGGCAGTCCCATTGTGTTCTGTGTCACTGTGGACATCCTCAGCTCATCTGGACTCTGTATCTCTGTGAAGACAGACTGTTTGAATCTTGACAGCTCATTGACAGTGTCTGACTACACTGTGTTGGCTGTTGGAGTCTCACTGTGATTAGCCCATTGTTCACTATAGTCACAGCCCTTTTTCATAATTAGTTCATAATTCTCTCAACTCCACCTCCACCCTGAACCAGTTCCTGGTTCCTGTGAGAGAAGGACCTCTGCCAGGGGTAGAGTGCCATGCTTTCTTTCTCACCTTCCCTGGACTGAGGGAAGAAGGGGAGGGCTTGTAACTTGATTGGCTTTCATTCTCATCTGCTGTGTCTTGTTCTAGGTCAATAGAAATATTCCAAGTTCCCAACTTGAAACTACTCTGCACCATCCAGCAGCACCACAAACTGGTGAATGCCATAGTCTGGCACCATGAGCACGGCAGCCGTCCAGAGCTGAGCTGCCTCATAGCTTCTGGCTCCAACAATGCAGTCATCTACGTGCACAATTTGAGAACTGTTCTAGGTAACACTGACCTCTGTGCTGGGATGATGCAGAACTTCAGGCTACTTCAGGGACATACCTGTAGCCGAGGATGACCTGGAACCCCATCCTGCCTGTGCCTTCTAAGCTCTGGGATTGCAACCTTGCACTTCCATGTCCAACTGTAATCTGGGATTCTATACCTAGGGGAAGATCCTTTAAAATGAAGGTGAAATTATAGACTTTACAAATAGATTTTTTTTTTAAGATGAGAGAATTTGTCACCAGTGGAACAGACCGTATTACTAAAAATGTTGGATTTCTTCAGGTAAAGGAATTGATAGTGACTAGAAAAACAGAACAGTTGTTCAGTCACTGTTCCTGCAGTTTTATCTGGTATTTTCTCATGAATAGCTTCAGATGATCTGTTACTACCTAGAATACCATTAAGCACAGGTATGTCCAGAGGGAGGTGCTCTTATGTTGGCCTTTATCTACACACCTCCTATGGTAACCTGCCTGGGGGCCCTGTTAGTGAGCTACATTGTATTTTTATCTGTACTTTTGGGCTTGTATCATTTCCTTCCCTTTTCTCCCTCCAAATCCTTCCTTGTACGTCCCTCAACTCTCTTTCAAATTCATGTACTCTTTTTTTTTTAATTGTTGTTGCACATATGTGTTCCTAAACATAAATGCAACATTTCCAGTCCGTTTAATGTTATTTATAGGTATATGTTTTTAGAGTTGACAATTTGATATTAGATAACCAGTTGATGTAAAATTCCCTGAGAGAAGACTGTTTCTCCGTTCCTCAGTATTCTTAGTTGCTTTTAGTTCTTTGGTTAGTGTTGAGGCCTTATAAGATTTGTCCCTTCTACATTAGTCTATTGGTGTCCTATTTGTTCATGTTTGGGTAGCCATACTTTTGAAACTTTATAGTCTTTTCAAGGAGACACAATCTCATGGCAGATTCCCTGATCTTCAGCTCTTTTTTGTTATTGTTTGTTTGTTTTTAAGATTTATTATGTATACAGTGTTCTGTTTGCACAGCATAAGAGGGCACCAGATAGATGGTTGTAGGCCACTATGTAGTTGCTGGGAATTGAACTCAGAACCTCCCATTCTGTGACTCTTATAATCTAGCAAGCTATAGTAAGCTACATTCTTTTCTTTCTTTTTTGTTTTGTTTGGGTTTTTTTGGGGGGTGGGTGGGTAAGACAGGGTTTCTCTATGTAACAGTTCTGGCTGTCCTGGAACTCACTCTGTATACCAAACTGGCCTTGAACTCTGAGATTTGCTTGCCTCTGCCTCCCAAGTGCTGGAATTAAAGGTGTGCCACCACCACCCAGCTAAGCTACATTCTGGGGCTGTTGATGTGACTTCTTTCCCTTGCCTTCTAGAGAGCAATCCTGAGTCTCCAGTAACCATCACAGAGCCTTTCCGGACCCTCTCAGGACACACAGCCAAGGTTACCAGTCTGGCGTGGAGCCCTCATCATGATGGAAGGCTGGTATCTGCTTGCTATGATGGCACAGCTCAGGTACTGTGCGTCCTTGAGCCTGACTTACTTGGTGTTGGGGAGGGGTGGTAAGGGGTTGGTTTTTCTAAGCAGGGTTTCTCTGTAACAGCCATAACTGTTCTGGAATGACTTATTGTAACTTAAACTTTCTCTTCTTCCCTCTCAGTTTTGGGTTGTTTTCATTCCCCTCCTGTCTACAGAAGGGCTGTCTGAGCTAGAAGACGTAGTTCCATCATAGCCCTTGACTAATAGTCAGTGTGCTGGACCCAAGTGGCCCCAAAAGTGTCTTTCAACCAAACCAACATAAAGATTTTAGCTAATTGTAGATACTCTTTTTGTTGTTGTTTGGGCTTTTACTGCAGGGTTTTGCTATACAAGGCAAGCTGTCCTCAAACTCTCTATATTTTGATTTCGTTTGTTTAATAACATTGGGGGGGGGGCAGTAAAACTTACAGGAGTTGGTGCTCTCCTTCCATCATGTAGGTCCTAGGGATTGAATTCAGGTCATCAGAGTTGGCAGCAAGGGCCTTTTCCACTGAGCCATCTCACTATCCTGTCCTCAAAGCTTTAATCCTTTTGCTTCAACCATTTGTGCTAGAACTACAGGTGTGGGCCACATGAGATTGTGTTGTCACATGAATGCATTAGGTACCTTGCAAATCATGTGAAAATTAAAGGCCTACAATTGTTTGTTGTATCATACTAATGTTGGTTCTAGGTATGGGATGCCCTCCGGGAAGAGCCTCTGTTCAATTTCCGAGGACATCAAGGCCGGCTGCTATGTGTGGCGTGGTCCCCAGTGGACCCAGAATGCATCTACTCGGGTGCAGATGACTTCTGTGTATACAGGTGGCTAACCTCCATGCAGGACCATTCCCGGCCTCCTCAAGGTTGGTCAGGATGAGATTATGGGATCCCTTTTTCTCTGCGTCAGTAATTGTTGCTCTGACCCTACCAAGCATCATCCATCACTGTGAAATTGTAACAAGTGTGGCTGTGCTCTTCCTAGGGCTGTTAACCCTCATTATTCACTAGGAGGGAATTAGGAGTGAAAGCACCTACATCTTATGCCAGAAAGAAAGGGTGTGCTCAAAGAACTGAGATACTTCAGAAGTATGGGGAGCAGCTTGAAGGGTCCCTGGCTAAACAAAAAGGGGGGCTATTGACAGGAGGGGCCAGCAAGGTGTCTGCAAGTGGGGGGATTAGTCAGGATTCTCTAAAGGAACAGAACTGATACAATGGCACACACACATGTGACTTATTAGAGTGGCTGGCAAGCTGTGTTTTGGGTAGTTCAACAATGGTTGTCTCCAGATGGAAAGACCAAAAATCCAGTAGTTATTCGGTCCATTCCACAAGACCAGATGTCTACCAATTCCACATCTGGTGCTGGAGTGTGGAAAAATTTCTGGAGAATTGCTGGTCTTCAATCTGTGCTGTAATCCTAAAGGAGTAGGTTCTAATACTGACAAGAGTGAGGGCAGCCAGGCAAAAGGTAAAGGCTTCCTTTTCCATGTCCTTTTATATAGGATGCCACCAAAAGATGGACCAGATTTTAATGTAAAAGATACTCAAATTAGCTTTGTCTTGGTCAGAAACTGGACACAGTTCAAATGCTAATGAACATATGAGTGTATCCTTACAGAGGAAATATTCATAGGCATAAGAAGGAAGTTGTAGGCTACCCATGTGTACAGGCCTGCTTCAACCCCCTGAACAGAAACAAAGCGGCTACTGATAAACGCAGCAAAGTTGATGAGTTTCTAACAGATCACACTGAGCAGAAGCAGCCAGGCACAGGGTTTGTACTGTTTCTGTGAAACCCTAGAGCAGCTGAAACTCAGACTGGTGACAGGTTGTCTGCAGGGCAGGTGGGATCTGGTCTGTGCTGGGAATGCCGGGTTCTGGTACTTTGAATCTGTCAAAAACAGTTGAGATGTGAAAAAATGACAAATTGACTGAAGGAAATGATAAAAGCTTTAAGGAAGAAAGAGGGTAGTGCTGGATGCTGCAAACTAGTCAGTGCCAGGTGCGGGGCAAGTGTGCTTTCAGGTACCAGGATCACATAGGTCTCTCCTGAGAACCAGTTCTGTCCAGCCGAGATTCCAACCAAGGAAGTCACAAGTGCCCACACAGCGGCACAGTGGCAGTCCCAGTCAGGGATCTGATGGTGAAACTAGGGAGTCCAGAAGTGTGGTAATGGACAACAGACACTGTCAGGACACCCTCTGATCATATAATTAAAATAACCAAAGAACATATAAAAATCATGTACTGTCTACCTCCCAGGTACCCTGGAGGAGCAGTGTCTCTACGACCAGTTGAAAATGCAGTCTGCATCCCTTAAAAAGTGTGGGCAGACATGAGTGGAATTCCCAGGGGCTGACTGCTGATGGGGGTGTAGCTGTGAAGGCAGGGGATGTGTAAAGACTGTCAGAAGAGTGGTGTATGATTCGGGAGGACTTTGCCAGGATGCTTCTGGCCCACAGTGTGTATTTTAGTCTATGATTTTTATTGTGGTCTTTGTAGGAAAAAAATGTATTGAACTAGAAAAAAAACGGCTCTCTCAGCCTAAGCCAAAGCTTAAAAAGAAGAAAAAACCCACCCTGCGACTACCTGTAAAGCAAGATTCATCCATTGTCACTGAAGATGAGAGTTCGAGGGAGACCTCGGGACCTGTTGAGAATGGTGTGTCGGACCAGGATGGTGAGGAGGAAGCCCAGGAGCCAGAGCTGCCACCATCTCCAGTAGGTAGGTGCTTCTAAAACACCCGTCTCACTGGTGTATTGATGTGGCAGGTCTTCCTCTATGTATTTTCTGCATCAACTGAGACTTTGCATATGTGGTATGTTGTTTAAAAGGGTTTCGTTCAGTTTTTAATATTGATTTTTGTTTCATGTGTATGACTGTTTTGCCTGCAACTATGCCCGTGTACCACAAGAGTGCTCATGGAGTCCAGAAGAGAGCATTGGACTCCCTAAAACTGGAATTATGGGTGTGGGGAACTGAATCCAGGTCCTCTGCAAGAACAGCCAGTGCTCTTAACCTCTAGCCACCTCTCCATATCTTTAAAAGGTTAAGTCTAAATGCCGCCTTATTTGTTGTTGTTGTTGTTATTGTTTTTATTGAGCTATTAAATGCCACTCTGAAGTGTTACAAGAGTTGTAGTACATGATTGGGGAGGAGTCAGTAGTACACAGAGAAGCTTCAGCTGTTCAGGGGCACAGTGAGACAGGGCAGTGTGCATAGGCACAGTGAGACAGGGCA